GTTCCAACAAAGTTCCGCCTAGGGTGATTATGACGATGCCTACCCCCGCTCCTTTGTGATTTGATGCTTCGTCTACATGAAACTACCACATGTCGTTAGGTAAGTTCGAATCGGTGGGGCAAGTGTAGTCTGCTTTTTCCTTGCTTTTCGTGACTAGCTTCTCTTTTTCGGCTGTCGGAGTAAACTTTACAAAAAAATCTGCTAAAGCTTGAGCTCTTATAGCAGTCTTCGGTCGGTAGAGGAGGTCGTATTGACTGAGTTCGATAGCCCATTTCATGAGTCACTAAGAAGCGTCGGGGCTGTGAAGGATCGATCTTAAAGGAAATTCTGTCATGACAATTATCCGGTGTGGTTGATAGTAAGGCCTTAGTTTTCTCGTGGAAACCACAAGTGAAAAAATGAGCTTCTTCATTTTTGTATAGTGAGTCTCTGCATCGAGGAGAGCTTTTGAAGTGTAAAATACCGAATTTTTTGCCCCCAACTCTTATCGGATGAGAGCTAAGCTGACAGCTGAGTCGGACACCGCCAGGTAGATGTATAAGTCTTCGCCTGGTATCGATTTTGAGAGTAAGGGAGGTGAAGTGAGGTATGTCTTCAAGTTTTGAAAAACTACTTCACACCCGTCATCCTATTTGTCTTTGTGTCATTTCTTCAAGGCTTTGAAGAATGGCCTGCACTTGTCGGTAGATCTTGAGAGAAATCGATTGAGAGTCGTCGCCTTACCCGTTAGACTTTGTCTCTCCTTTGTTGTGGCAGGTGACTTCATGTTGAGTATAGCCTTGATTTGATTTGGATGTGCCTCAATTCCTCTTTGGGCAATTAAGTATCCAAGGAATCGGCCAGACGAGACTCCAAACGTGCATTTGCTCAGGTTCAACTTCATGTTGTATTTTCGGAGTAGGCTGAATGCCTCGGCAAGGTTTTTGATGCGGTCTACTCGCTCGGGAGCTTTGACTAGCGTGTCGTCTACATAGACCTCCATAGTCTTGCTGATTTGCTCAAAAATTTTGTTTACCAGCCTTTAGTAGGTTGCTCTGGCATTCTTCAGCCCAAATGGCATGACTTTGTAGCAATATGTACATCTTTCAATGATGAAGGAGGTCATTGCCTTGTCGTCTTCATGCATCATGATTTGGTTGTAGCCGGAGTGGGTTTCCATGAAGCTTAGTAGTTGATTGCCGGAAGTTGAATTGACGAGTTGATCAATTCAGTCATCGCACCCTACGATGTTGGCATTTTCTGCTTTGAATCTCTTGATGTAATCTCGAAGGGATTCATCGGGCTTTTTGTGCAGGTTGAATAGATGATCAGGGTTCTTCTTGATCGTCCGATAAGAAGTGTATTCTTTAGTGAAGACGTAAGCAAGCTCCTTGAAGCTGCTGATTGACCCAGACGACAGGGTATAGAACTAGTCTTGAGCTGCTCCCCACAAAGTCATTGCAAACACCTTGCACATTAGCGCGTCTTCGGCTTTGTAGAGGATCATAAGGCTCTTGAAATGCTTTAGATGGCTTTTAGGATCAGAATCCCCTTTGAAGCATTGAAAGAGGGTATTGAGAATCGTTTCGGGGGAGCAGCTTACTCGATTTTAGAGGTGAAAGGTTAGGAGTTTGCTCTGTCTACCTCTATGTGTAGTGCATCTTTGAAATTTTCACCAATCTTTAAGTCTCGAAGTCGGTTATTCACAAGCTTCTCAACGTCTTCTGCACACATAGCTGGTCGGTCACGTTGATGACCTTTATGATTTGGGCGAGGCTGATTAACTTCCTCGTTTGTTCGCAAGGGTCGACCTTCTCGGCTACGCTACCTTGGCGGCGTGTTGGTGGATTACACTTGCGAGAGATTTTCTGTAACGTGGCGATGAGAATTGGTTCTTCGAGAATGAGTAGTGGAGCGCGTTTCTTCCCGGTTCTCATTGTGAAGGTTATCAAGTTGACCTCCCTAGGGGCTTAGCCTTTTGTGAATATTTCTTTGCGAGCGGGCAGCGGAGCGCCTTTCTTCACGATCCTTATTGCGGTGATTGTCAGTTTGACCTCCCTGGAAGCCTAGCCATTCATGAACATTTCCCTGCGGGCCTGGGCGGGCGCGGATGCCAAGTTGTGGGCCTAGCCTATCCCGCACATTGGTCCTTAAATTCAATCTGGATGGGAGACTTCGTCTGCTTTGAGTGTGGCTTGCAGATGCTAGTAACGTGTCGGCTAGCTGATCGCGTTGTTGTCCATCTATTTGTCTACTTACTTCTACTCGACTTGCTTGGTTCCCATCAAATTGCCTATCGGCGCATTCATCCACTATTCTCTCTTCGCCCTGTTGTCCAAGGCCAAGGTTTTGAGCTGAGTTCATTTGGTTTAGGAGCTGACTCATCAAATTGTTTTGGTCGTCCATTCTCTGAGTTAGCTGGTTAACTCTCAGATTAAGGTCTACTTGACTTTGTGGATCGGGATGAGAGAAATGTGCGGAGCCCAATTGCACACGGGCTAGGGTTTCATTAGATGTTTATGCAGGAGCGTGCGTCGAGCGTGGAGGCAATGAAGGGAATGTTTTAAGTTGCTCCAAGATTGGGCCAAAGTCGGCGGTGGTAGTGAGCCCACCTTGATGGGAGGTTCCACCATGCTGGGCGGCGATGCTATGAAGGTGGCTAGATCCGGCCACGGGGCCTTGAGATGGTACCACGACGGTAGAGGCTGGTGCAGTGGTTCCAGTCACACGGGGTGGCTGTTGTGGTGCGGCAGCTAGGGTTTGATGCGGGTTCATGGCGGCGAGAGGCGGTGGAGCCGCCATGTCGATCATGGGATCGTGGGAGAAGTAGCTTTGGGCCGTCATGGATTGAGCCATCACGGTGGTTTTGCTCTTCGTGCGCTTGGTTGGAAGACTTTGGTGGATTGGAAAATAGGAGGAACGGATTCCTTGAGCACGCGTTGAGTATAACTCATGCTCTCAATTAAAGTACCAAATGTTTGTGCAAATAATCTCACAGGAGAATATTCGCTTCTAGATCCTTCAACCTTCGATCTTCCTTATCTCTCTTCCTTGATTCCTGTAAAAAAGATTGGTATAAATAGACCACACCTGAGAGTGTTGGCCAAAGGCCCTCCAATGCCTAAGTTAGTTCGAGTGTTTGTAGGAAAACAATAGCTAAGTAAAGGGTACGGAGTTGTATGTATGGTGTGAACCGAGCTGCCGGAGCCGTGTGTGGTGGCCAGAGCCGTGTGGAGAAAATATGGAGAGTGGAGAGGGAGAGAAAGCTTCGGGTATTTTTCTCGGGTTTAGGAGTAGGTTTAGATGTGGGTTTTTTTGAAGTACCTTGAATGATAAATGAAGTAGTCTATTTATAGGAGCCTCGGGGCTAGGGTTTTGTAGAGAATATGATGAGTTTATTCTCTACCCAAATTCGCAGGGATCAAGTCGGATTTGATTATATCTCTTTATTGAAGATAATATCTGATTTAATGATATTATCTTCTCTTTATTGAAGATAATATCTGAATTAATGATCTTATTTTCTCTTTATTAAGATAATATCTGAATTAATTATATTATCTTATTAAATAAAAATAATATCCTATTAATTAAGATATTTATTTCAATTAATTAATTGGCCAGATAAACTGGTTCAATTAATTAATTTAAGAGATAATCTTCTTTTCCACGTGGCTTGCCAAGATTGGAGACGAAAATATTTGCTCCCACAATACTCACAAAGGATGGATTGGGATGGGCTGTAGTAGTACTTGTCTGGGAGAAATTCCTCCCATGAAAACTCAAAACCCCCCTTCAACTCAAAAAATACTTGGTCAGTTTGAAACGGCTTCAAAGATTTGAAGAAAAAAATAAGAGGTACACACTTATCCCAACCAATTGTAAATTGATGCCATTAGCTAATTCCTATGCTCTATTCACAAAACTTAAAACAATTAATTGAAATTTCAGCCTAGAAACTCACCCCTTGCTTAACATAACCAAAAACACCAACCAAATTGCTCTATCCAAAGCAACAAAAGACCACCTGCAAAATATCAAACAAAAACATGGTCTAAAAAATAAAAAAGAAGAAAAAGGAAGAAAAAGTAGAAAAATTGGAGAAGAAATTAGCTTGAGTATTTTATACATGCACAATCTTTTCATTAAACCAAAAAATTAGCTTGAGCAAAATATGCACGGAAAGAAACCACTCAAGATTACTCAAATTTATGTGTTTTGAGTCAAGAAAAACACTGTAAAGGTACAGGAAGATGGCTGTTTAAATGATCCTAGATGCATTTGAAACAAAGAGTATACGATCAAGAGTTACCTATGCAAAAGTCACCCCAAACAATCAAAATCCCAAAACAACTGTCTCTGAATTGTCGTTGTTATCAAAGATTTGAAAATTCTCTCTCATAACCCTACACCACCAAAAACGCAGAATCAGTGCTAAACTCAAAGAACAAAAACTAAAATTAGTAGAGAAAAGATGGTATATTTGATGACTGTACATGTCTAGTCAGCATATTATCTGTAGTTGTAGATCACGTGTATATCGTGTGGTCAGTTAGGAATTGTTAAGCAATTGTATAAAGCTGGTATGTACAGTAATTGTTCATTAAGAAAATACAACCAGTAAAATTCTCTTAGAAATTCATGTGTTCTCTCTCTAGCTTTCTTCCTCCTTATCTTTCTCTGAACATTTCACTTTCGTTATCATGGTATCAAGAGCCTAGTTCGATCTGTTTTTCTTGCTTCCGTTCCCAATCCTCTTCGATCTCTTATTGATTCTGCAACTTTTCTTGTTCCCGATAAATCCTAAATTATTTATTTTTTTTTTTCATTTTTTTTTTTTCGATTTCCTCTTCCAAATCTTCGATTTCTTGTTCCTGATAACCCTAACTTTTCACTTTCATCTTCCAATTCTTCAATTTCTCTGTTCTTTTCTCTCCTTCTGTGTCTTCATCCTCTTTCTTCAACGAATTTTCTTCTCAAAATTCGACAAATCTGGTTTCAGACAACCCTAGATTTCTGCCATGTCTGCTTCTTCATCATCTTCTCTCAAAATTGAACACCTCCTTGGATTGCTTACTATTCGTCTTACTGATGATAATTTTCTTAAGTGGAATTATCAAATTGAGTCGGTTCTGGAAGGTTACGATCTCTTTGGCCATTTTGATGGCTCTGCTCTTCCTCCGCCCAAATTTGCGATTGTTGATGAAGAGGGAGTGACATCAGAAGTCACTGCTGCTTATAAGGATTGGACGCAAGCAATTGAGTATGTTATTGGCTGTAAGACTGCCAGGGATGCTTGGCTTAGTCTCACTGATCGTTATGCGTCGGTTTCTCGTGCCAGAATCAATCATTTGAAAACAGAATTTCAGACTGTGCAAAAAGGTGGTGATTCCGTTGAGCGATTTCTTCTTCGTCTCAAACATCTGCATGATCAGTTACATGCTGCTGGTACTAAGATTTCTGATGATGATTTTATCATTGCTGCATTAAATGGTCTACCACCTGAATACGACATCATCAAGACGATCTTGATTGCTCGTGATACGCCAATCTCGTTGAAAGATTTTCGTGCTCAGTTACTGGCTGCTGAGCAAACTGCTGAGGCTCGACTTACCTCTCATTCTGCTTTGTTTGTGCCTCATACATCTTCTGGCTATGGGGTTCAGGGAGCTCACAGTGGTTCATCGTCTGTCTCTCTGTCTTCAGGACAAGGTTTGCTTCCTACCCCGCCTTCTCATGTTGGTTATTCTGGTAATGCATCTTCTCGACCTCCTTCGCTGCCTTTTGGTCCTCGTCCTATTTCTCATACTGGTTTTGGTCGAGGCAAGTTCAATGGTGGACGGAATTTTAGTTCTCCTACTCATCCAAATTTCAGAGGCATTACTCCTGTTTATCAAGGCCATAACACATTTTCTGGTTCCAAGTTTGTTCCTGAATGTCAGATTTGTAATAAAAGGGGTCATACGGCTGTTAATTGTTTCTTTAGGCATGCCAATTCTCAATCTTCAGTTTCTACAGTGCCTGAGTGTCAAATCTGTGGCAAGCGTGGGCATGTTGCTTTGGATTGTTATCACAGGTCGAATTACTCATTTCAAGGTCAAGCTCCTCCTTCTTCCTTAACTGCTATGACAGCACAGACTTCTTATTCTCCTGAACAAGTCTGGATTGCTGATAGTGGAGCCACACATCATATGGTGGGTGATGTGTCTCAGTTGCAAAATGTGACTCCATGTGTTACTGAGGAAAATGTCACAGTTGGAAATGGGGAAGGTCTGAATATACTTCATATCGGCACTTCTAATATTCCTGGTGCTACATCTAGGCTTACAATGCCCTCTGTTTTTCATGTTCCTCAACTCAAAGCAAATCTTTTGTCCGTGCACCAACTTTGTAAGGATAACAACTGTTATATTGTGTTTGATGTCTCTGGTTTCTTGATACAGGACAAAGTCACTCATCAGGTGCTTCTCAAGGGAAA